ACAAACACTTCTCACAAGATGACAGACATACAAGCAGCCAACAAACATATAAAGCAATTCTCATTACTAATCACTGGAGAAATGAAAATCAAAACCACAGTGAAATACCATCTCACACCAGTCAGAATGGCTATTATTAAAAAGTCAAAAAACAACAGATGCTGGTGAGGCTGCACAGAAAAGGGAACACTTACACATTGTTGGTGGGAATGTAAATCAGTTTAGCTACTGTGTAAAGCAGTTTGGAGATATCTCAAAGAACTCAGAATATCATTTGACCCAGAAATCCCATTACTGGATATATACCCAAAATAAAACAAATCTTTCTACCAAAAAGACACGCGCACTCACATGTTCATTGCAGCACTATTCACTGTAGACATTCACAAATATATAGAATCAATCTAAGTGCTCAATAGTGGAGTGGATAAAGAAAATATGGTACATATACACCATGGAATACTAAACAGTAATAAAAAGAATGAAATCATGTCCTTTGCAGAAACATGGATGAAATTGGAAGCCATTATTCTAAGTGAATTAACACAGGAACAGAAAACCAAGTACCTCATGTTCTGACTAATAAGTGGGAGCGAAACATTAGGTAAATGTGGACATAAAGATGGCAATGATAGAAACTGGGAACTACTAGAGTGGGAAAGGAGAAGGGGCAAGGGCTGAAAAACTACTGAGTACTGTTCTCAGTACCTAAGTGACAGGATTACTCATCCTATATCTAGGATTTTATTGCATCATGCAATATACACAGGTAAGAAACCTGTTCATGTAACTCCTGAATCTAAAATAAAAGTTGAAAAAAGGATTAAGAACAGACATTAGGATCCACCTACATTCACATTCATAAACTCCTGCCTTCTTACTTCTTCTCTGTTTGGATGTGCAAGTCCACACCTGCACGTGCACACACAGGCGCCTGTACACACACACACACACACATACACACACACACAGAGTCAGTTCCACACAGTCTGGTAACTGAATCCCATTCTGTGGCTGTTCAACGTCAGATAAGTAAGCAATACATCCTGTTCCATGATCAAAAGTATAAGCTGTAGGGAGTCAAAGACTAAAACCAGAAAATTTCAAGGGAAGTTTGAGAGGTATGGAAAAGGTTCCAAAACAAGGAGTTTAAAATCAGAGCCAAGGTTTGTGAATAAATAACAGGGTTCGCGGTGTGGCGGTTTTAAAATATGCCCACAAATACTTTGACAATCCTTTTTTTTTTTTAAGAGGTGGTGCCTAATTCCTCTCCCCCTTGATTGTGGGCTGGAATGAGTCTCCTCTAAGGAATAGAATATGGCCAACATGAAAACTCGATCAACATTTGATCAAGTCACAAAAAGCATTATAGCTTCCTCCTTGCTTTCACTCTCTTTCTCATCACTTGACGTGGAGGATTCCAGTGGTCATGTCATAAGGCCACTCACATAGACTGTAGAGAGGCCCACAAAATGAGAAACTGAGGCCTCCTGCCAATCGCCACAAGAGTGAGCCATCTTGGAAACAAACTCCCCAACCTTCAGACAATTACTGGCCCAGTCAACATCTTGACTGCAATCTCATAAAAGTCCCTGAGCTAGAACCACTCAGCTAAGCTGCTCTCAAATTTCAAACCACAGAAACTATGAGATAATAAACATTTGTTATTTTAAGCCACTAAAATAAATAGAAATCCTGATCTAGACATAGCTCCATATTTCGTATTTAATCGATCCTTCTTGTTGCTTGCAAATTTGCAAATGAAAATACCAAATAGAAAACTTAGTCTCACATACTTCTTAGAGGGTGATTTTTTGCTATTTTGTGGCAGTTAACATATATTTGGATTTAGTGTAGCTCTTTGATTTTACATGTGAAAATTCTCTAGGAGGACTTTGTGTTGTTTCATGCTGCTTTGTGGGTGTCTACATTACATCAGTGTGGTATTCTGTCCTTTTAGTTCTCAGCCAGGTTGAGAAGAGAGCATTTACCAGCAGCCCTTTTCCATCCTACGAGTGGAAAAACTACTACTCTTACTGATTGTTCACTCATCTTTCTCTTTACACATCTCCATGCTAATTGTAAAACTAAATCAAACTAAGCACACAGAGAAGGAAGTTGAAGGGTAGGAGAAGAACTAGAATTATACGTTGTTTAGAAACCAAAGGAGGCAAAATGTTTGCTCAAGGGGGGTTATGAAAAGTTTAAGGTTACCGAAATGTCATCAATGGAAAGTAAATGAAGAGTTGTTCATCTGTGTGTTACATACCAAACACAAGTGGGAATATTAACATCAGATAGGAATTTTCTTTAACAAATTATTTAAATGATTTTACTAAGTGTACTTGAATTTCGAAAGGCTGAATATTGCAAGCAATGAATAAAACCAATAACTAGGGGGATAAAAGAACATGCTTAAGACTAAACATAAGTGGATTCTATATAGCTCAAATGGGACCATTTACTTAGTCTTAAAATTAAAATAAATCACATGAAAGATTTAGTGTAATCATGCCACAAGACATTCACAATTCATTTGCATTTTTCCTTTGGCACTATGAGTCTCAAGGCATCTAGCACGACTATTCGAAGGCAAATAGACTTATTTAATGTTTATTGCTAATGATCAACATGACAAAATAACTCAGACAAGATAATGGCTCAGATTTTCTGTGTTAAGCCCATAATTTATTTAGATCCCTTGCGCACAACTGACTGATAAATATGTACTTTATTCATTCCATGAAAAATCTGATAGAATTTGAGTATTGGCCAATATTAAGTGGAATGACTTTGCTACAGATGAAGTATAGCATTAAATGCAGAGAAACCTTGTTTTATTTTATTGTATTTTTTTCCCTTTATGATGGTCGTGCAAGAGTTCAAGAATACATAATTCTCCATGTCAACTTTAATATTTACATAGGGACCCATGCTTGCCTATCTCTGTCTAAATTTTTTCCTGGTCTTGATTTTCTCCTTTATATTTTTCTCACTCCACATGACGAACCAGACTGTAAGCACTGATGCAATCACCCACTTACTGAGCAGAGAAAAGGACAAAGGACAAATCGAGAAGGCATGAGACACCATAATCAGTTCTTCCTGGTCTGCCACTGATTACAGGCCCTGGTCTAAGGTAATGTTTCCCTCCAGTTATTTGTAATGTAAGAAAATAAGAATGTTACAGTAGTTGCTAGTTGCTATGGTTAAATATCCTGAGGTGCTTGGTGAAAATGCAGATTCGTGAAACCACCCCCTGATATTCCATCTAGTTTGGAGAGGTGGCCCAAGAATATACATTTTAATAAAAAATCCATGTAGTATCCTTGAAAAACCCATGCAAGGTTTGATAACACAGGCTTTGTGGGATACAACTATATTTTATTCTCAGTGCTAATAATTGCATAAGTTACTTACACTAGCTAAACTTTAGTTTGATTACATATAAGAGTAGTAATATCTACCTCCTTCGTTTAATCTTAAAATATTAATTTAAAAATCCTAACAATTATTGCATAATAAATGGCATATCATTAGTAGTAGTATCCATGATTATTGACATTATCATTATCACCATTCTGTCCCCATTAATTCTGTGTATTCGGTTTAGGGAATACAGCAGTTCTACAGGAAGCAGTAAGAAATCTTTTTTTTCTTTTTCATTTTAAAAAACCTACTTAAAATTAAATGTAGTGCAGTAAAGACATGTGTCCTAAGTTACCCTTAAGTTTCTTAGCTTTTAGCAAGAATTCTTTAGCTCTATGTGGTAATTCTCTTGGGCTGCTCAAAGGTAGTACCTGGCTCTTTCATGTTTTTTTAATAAAAAACAATTATTTAATAAATTTTTTATTTGTTGATAATGTCAGTAAATACAGAAACAGTGGTGCAAATATTGTTCACTGATTTCCTTATTGAACAATTTTGGTTACCTTTTGACATGCATTTAAAAGGATTAGGCTGCCTCATAAATATACAGGCAGTGCAATGTAATAGGTTGGTCAGGGTGAGATATAATAAATGTGCACATTTAAAAAATGTTATCTAAATTCAGAAGCTTCTAAACATGAAGGAAAGGAAACAAAAGCTTTGCTTATATCTCTGGCACCAGACAAAGACACCTCCCCATTCATGTAATAATAAGGATAATAAATACGACATCCTATTTCCATTTTTCTATGCTATGATATGAAAAGCAGTAAGTGTGACATTCCAGAGTCAGAAAAAAAACACAATGCAGTGATTTTACCCTAACAAAACACATGGAAAAACAAACTAAAATATTACTTTTACGTGTCATAATCCCCTTGTTTGTACTGACACATACATTGGCACTGAACATCAAATTTCACTTGTACACAAATAGGAGGACTTCTCCAATCAATAAGAGAGTTGGATTTTGCCAAATAGTGCCAAATGTAAACACAACATTTATTGCAAATAGCAAGTTGCACATAATGTAATCTTACTTACACCAATTGGCTTATATTATCAGATCTATGAATGATAATGTTCTTAATAAACCAATATTAGAATAAAATCTCAAGCACACCAATAAACCTGCTGTTGGAGTTATTTAATGTGGTTTTACACAAGGAGCATGTGCTGCTAATTTAGATTCCGTTGACACAGCAGATTGTTATAATTCTAATAACTGTGTGTGATGCTACCCAATAGATGATAAGTGAGGCAGGTCAGTTCATCAGGCTTTATCTCTAATTAGTACTAAAAACGCACGCTGAGCTATAGCAGAGAAAAGACTTGACCTTGCTAAATTACACGCGCCGGAGGGAAGGCAAATGAAGCTCTATTTTCAGAGAGAGGTAGTCTTTTACACAACAATGGAAAGGTACCCACTTTGGGAGAGCCACATCCACCATCACAATACAATGTATCAAGTCAATCCACAGTATTATTCCTAAAGAAAGAGCTGTTATTCTTTCTGAATTAATCTTTCTACCAATCTTTCTCTCTATCCCCCATAAAAAAAGCTAGATTACCTTTCTCGCAGTGACTTCCTGTGAATCCAGATGGACAGACACATTTGTTAGGAGCCACACACGTCCCACCGTATCTGCAGCCCTCTTCACAGAAAGCTGTTGCAAGAGAACAAAGTATTTATCTTAGATAAAATGCAATAAATAAATTCATGGTAAACAGCAGCAGCATTGACGCAATTCTTTCTTTGTTGCATAGGGAATACACTGTACATCTGTATTGATACACTAGTATTACCATTTATACTCTGGAGTATAACTCCATTAACTCTTACTCTCATTTATACATTTGAAATCAAATAGTATAGATTGAGTAACTAGGAAGGGTAAGGTCAGGATGAAGGTGAAGACCTTTTTAATGTTCGTCATTTTGTAATCTAATCTTTTTCATTAAACATCTCTTATGACAATAAAAACGTTTATGTTCTTTAAAAAAGATTTCTGAGAGTTGATATAGTTTAATATTTATAATATAAATGTAACTAATTATTTACATTTGAGTATGTAGGCTGTTTCCAATATTTTGGTAACAAAAACAATGCCTTGTCCTGATAGCTAAAATGCTCAGCACAACCTAAATTATTCCTTTATGAAAAATGCCTCATTGTGGAAATGCTGGTCCCAAGGGTATAGATTTTTAGGTTTTCTTGATAAGCACTGCAAAGCTATTCTTACTCCTTCCCAGTGATATCCTGTCAGCCTTCCCAGAACAGGTTAGTTCCCCCTAGTACATACTTGCATAGCATCAAATAGCTCCATGAACTTCTCCATTGCAATAGTAAATACGATTGTATATTTACATATAATTTATTACCATCTCCTGCTTTATCAACTGAACTGCAAGACCCATAAGAATAAGTAGCATAGTTGTTTTTACTCACCACTGTATTGTAGCCTCAGTATCTAATCACATAGTAGATGCTCAAAACAGATTTGTTAAATGAATTAATCTACATTCTACAGGTTGTTCTGATAATAAAACTCTCACTCGAACAATTCTGCAACTCTTTCATTCAATTAATTTAATATCAAACCTTGCTGGATAACCAAGAATTTAGTGTACTAAATGTGCAAAATTTCTCATTAATGAAGATGATTGTACCTGTTAACCCTGAGTTTATTTTATTCACAAGAAAGATAGGTGAGCAAGTGTTTTAAATTTTAATTGTAGTTTGAAAATGACATCCTAGAAAAATGTCATGGTTATATTTTGCCATGATCACTCAAAATTAGTATGAGTTTAACTTCAAAAGCCACATGATGTGTTCAGAAAGTTGAACACTATTCCAAATACGTAGAACTCCTCACAATATTGTTGTTTTTCACATCATTTAATATCCCTTGAATGATTTAACATTTCACAGCTTCAGCAATTAATTTCATCTTCCTTTGCCTCTGCCAAAGGACAATGTGTACCTTAGAATTCAAATATCATTTCCTATTTCTAGCATCTTAGAACATTTCCTATTTCTAGCACCTTAGAACAATTCTAAAAAATTAGACAGTACCTGCCATGGTAAGTTCATCCAAAAAACCAAAATATATAAAATATACATGATGTATGCAAAATCTCTTGTCCCAAAAATTACACCTTGTGGGCTCTGGTGACTGACATTTCAAAGAACAGTAAAGCGTTTTTGCAAGCTAAAAATAACAGATGGAAAGCCAGTAAGAAAAAGTTTTAAGTAGCACCGAAAGAAGGCAGGGGCTTGAAAAGAGAAGGCCCAGCTTGGGTTTCTTTAGTGCAGAGTTGAAACAGCACTTCATCTAAGTTTTGCAGACCTAGTTAGGAGACTTGATGCTGCTTCATGGTAGGTATACGCGTTTGATTTACTCGGTCCTTAAGTAGAAATGATGATACAGTGGAAGGTTTTATGAGGAGAGCACGAGATGTTTGTGATGTTCTAAGGATGTGCAGATATTAGAATAAACAGAGTAGTATGATGATTAAATGAGTTAACATTTATAAAGAACTTAAAATGGTGTTTGGCACAGAGTGTTACATAAGTGCCCTGTTAAATAAAATTAACTGATAACAGAATTGTTATGACTGTGAAACACAGACCAGGAACAAACTGTCTAATATCCAGACGATATAAACCCGATATTAAAATACAATCTAATCATCATCATACAAGGCGTTGAGCTTCACCAAGATGGGCTCAAGGCATCCCTTTTTATTTATGCTTAATTTGCTTCCTTTAATAAGGGTAGTTTTCGTTCTTATCATGGAGGTATCTGATAGGTATATTGTTCTTATTACAGAAATGGTGAACTTGTGCCCTAAGGCTGCATAGGTAGAAAGTAGCAGAGACAAGATTCAAGTAAACACATCTTTGCCTTCGAAATCTTACCCCTTCTTTATTTGTTACAGTGTGGGTTAATCTACAATCCAGTGTTCACAAAGGCATGTTTATTGTATTTTTAAAATAGTTCCATAAGGGCTGAGGGAACTGACTAAAAATTAAAAGGAAAAAAAAATGCCTAAATTGCACATATTGCATTAAAGGATGGGGATGAAGAGCTATTCAAGTTCATGTATCTATTATCTAATTTCTGTTTTTGCCTGAGACTCGTTACATTTCTCCCAATCTAGGCACACATTATTTTCAATGTGATTTATCTGAAATAACCAAGAAAACCATTCCCTAGCTGAACCTTAGACAATATACCAACGTAATTTCAACACAGAGCAAATAAAGAAGGGACATGTCATCAAAAACATAAACTATTTTGTGGAAATTAAGATCAATTCAAGCTTTATTTGAATATCTAATAAAATATCAGAATATACTGATGTATCTTAGTCTAAAGATTGTGCATGGATTATTCATATATGGATAGGCTCTTCTTGATTGACTATTAACTCAGAAATTCAATGAAAAGGACTCTGATATGCAGAGGATTAGTAATTTGCACAGCATTATTTAGTTGATGGCAGAAGCAAAACAAGGAGCTGGGTCACCACTACATTGTCTTTCTAGTTTGTGAGGAGATGGGCTGTTAGAAATTATACGGTTCTAATTCTGGCTCTATATTTATTAATTGTATGAACTATAACAAATCATTTCACTCCTCTGTGCCTCAGTTTTCTCAAGAAAAAAGCAGCTGAGGATAATAAAAACAATCGTGCTGGAGGATTAAATGAAGTTACAAAGGTAGACCACCCAGCACAAGGCACGGCCAATGGAATGTGCTCACGAACTGGATGTGATTGTTGTTATTTATCACCAGGATTCTGCTTTTCCAGATAACAATACAGTTGTGAACCAGTTTATGATCTAGATTCTAAAGATGCAGCAGTAAGAAGGCAAAGATCCCTGTGCCATGGAGCTTATTCTTTAGTAAGGACTCCTCATCACTCCTTCCTTAACTGAGTGACCTTTGTAATATCACGTGGTTTGCAATGGAACTTAGAATTATAGCTCCTCTGAAAACTCAGAGAAACTCAGGTACCATGGATATATGACTTCATATGTTGGTTCTTCTTCAACTGCTACCCAGATTCTGAAGTATGGCAAAAATAGATTGTGTGTGTGTGTGTGTGTGTGTGTGTGTGTGTGTGTGTGTGTAGTAAGATAAACCTGAATCTGTCATTATGGTGACATTTGTTATTAACTTACTGCCCTGGAGGAGATGTTAGATTGGATCAAATGTAAAATGGTATGCTTCTAATATTGAAAGAACTCTTTTCATTGTGCAAGAAAATAAATCACAAAACTCATATCTGAGAGAAGTTCAATCCACAGAAAGAGTATTTTTTATATTAAAATATAAAATATTCTCAGCATGTAAAATCAAATGTGGGTATTAAGGGGAACAAAATGGGAAGGCGGGTTTGCAGATGCCAGGTTTGTGGATGTCCAGTACCATCACCATGTACTCAACTCAACAAAAGCAGTTCTACACTAATAAAAAGTAATAGCCCTTCACTTTCTAAACACTTCTCATAATCTTCTTAAAGTTTAATGGCATAAATGTAGTTCCTAGTGACACCCTGAAATCCTGAAACAGTAAGTAAACATACAAATTTCAACACCATCTGTTAGAAGGTAAACCTTCTCTTCCTTCCTAGTTTCCTTGAGGAAGAATTTTCCTTGAGGTAGCATTTTCCTGAAGCTAATTTCTGACCTCTGCCTGCTGACTTTGCTCATTCTACCCTATGGAGGTGGAGGGATTTATTTTGTTGGTAAATTTGGGAAAGATATATATCAGGATGATGCTGCTCAAGTGGGAGAGGCAGGAGCAAGGGCTGGGAAGCTCTGTGTGATTAGAAACAGACAGCTGTTGCATTTTCAGCTTTATTTTGGGTAGCATGTTAGTAGGTATGAATCATATTATTAAAAGTACCTATTTATTTAAATAAATAAAAACTGGCCACTATAGACAGTTATTACAAGGTGTCAGGAACCAAAGATTATGATTAAGTTAACCATGTCCACTTAAAATCCAAAACGGGAAGGAAATCATTAAAATCTGGTCATGTTCTGCAAAGGACCAGGCCTGCCATTCTTCTTTCTTGAGAATGAGCTGACTTCAGACATTATCAGTTTTCCTGACTTCTTTATTGACACTTTCCTCTCTGGAACTCAGTGGATAAGTCAGCCTTCTTCTGTGTTCATTTTTAGCAAGCCAGCTCAGTTTACAGACAGACATGTTCTCCAACCCAGCTCCGTTAATAATAAAGGTGATATCATCACCTTTAAATTTGCTTTTTGGTTTCATTCCTCACCTTGTTCAAAGCATATTTATCAAATGCCCCTCAAACATTTTTGGTTGTTACAAGATGGAGGGAGGAACAATGTGGTCTTATTACTAGGTGAGTTGAGACCACGAATGTTTAAACATCCTACAATGCACAGGACAGCCCTATACAAAAAAGAATGATCTAGCCCAAAATGTCAATAGTGGTGAAGTTGAGAAACTCTGCTCCAACTTTACACAACTAAGTTTATGAAGTGTCTTCAGGAGCAAAATTTTGTTATTTTAATCCTGTTTTCCATTCTTCCTCCTCAAACTCTCCCCCTGAATAGTTTAAAATATCGAGGAAAGAGTAAAACTCAGTAACATGCCTAGTTGAATATAAAAACAAACATCCA